AGCTTCCAACTTCCTAGCACAAAAGTTTTCAAAATATCAACTAAAGATCCTTTGGATTTCGTGGGTATCTGTTGTCATATCAGCGGTTCATTATTTTTTTCTCTGATCTTTGTTATTTCTCCCTGTCCACTCATTTGGTGTTTGTATTGCTTTTGTTTTTCTAAGATCTTGATGTATATCAGTAGGTTACTTGTTTGATTTCTCTTTGGTTCCCTTAATGTAGGCACATATTGCAGCAAACACCCCACTTAGAACTACCTAGAAAGTTGTTTTTTTCATTTGATTCTAAGCAATTTCTCCCTGTTTTCTTCAGTTACTCAGTGATCATCCAACAGTTTATTGCTCAATATCCAGGTGTTTGCATGTTTTCTTTTTACTCCTTTAGACATGTTTATTCTTTGGAAATCTCATACATGTATACAATGTATCTTGATCATATCAACTTCCCACCCTTTTCCTCCAAATCCCTTCAGTTTATATTTCAGTAGTTTTCTTTCTGTGGTTTCATTGATTTCTAATTTAATTCATTATGATAGAAGATATAAGACATTATTTCAGTTTTTAAATATTTGGTATGATTTCTTTTATGGCTTAAAATTGATCTATTTTGGAGACTGAGCCCATGAGCTGTTGAGAAGAAAGTATCTTCCCAATTGTTATGCACACATGTCTGTTAAGTCTGTTCCCTTTGGTCCCACTTGACTTTGAAGCTTTTCTGTCTTGGTAACATGTTTATTGGTGAGTGTTAGTGTGTTGAGATCAGTGTTGTTTTATCTGGACTTGTAGCGCTTGTTTTATGAAATTGGGTGTAACAATGTGTGGTACATATATATATACATATATATATATATATATATATTTACAGCCATCGTATCCTGTTAATGGATTGTTCTTTTTGTTATGGGTATGCTCTTCCTCCCCTCTAACGCTGGCTTGAAGTCAATTTATCACCTATCAAATCCAGCTGTTCTGCTTGTTTATAGTTTCTGCATGTAGGGCAAGTCGCTTTCCAGCCTTTCCATTTCAGTGTGTGTATCTTTGCCAGTGAGGTTGAATTTTGTGTCAGCTCGTACGCTAGTCTGCAGTTTTTAGTTGGAGAATTTAGAACTGTAACATGGATTAATAAAAGATCCAGTGACTGATATGGGGGGAGTTAAACTTCAAGCTGAAGGTCAGAAAAACAAAGTAGCAGGCCAATAGCTCCCACCACTACCTCAGGCTGAATGGGCTGATCCTCCTGCCTCTCAGCGTGACTGGAGAATCCTGAGACTGAATGTCTTCCTATCCTCAGTGTGGCTGGAGAATGAATGCCTCCTACTGACTTCTGCTCCTGTCTTATACACCTCCATAATGCTGGGATTAAAGGGGTGTGAGATCATCTTCATGTGGGCTGTTTCTCTATAGGACTGAACCAATCTTGTGTAGTCTGGGTGACCTTGTACTCACTGAGATTCATCTACCTCTTAATCCTGAGTCCTAGGATTAAAGTTGTGTACCACCACCTCTTAGATTCTGGCCACTGGGATTAAAGGCTTGTGACTGGCTTGGCTTTCTGAATCCTCAGGCAAGCTTTAATATATCACAAATAATATATCACCACAAACAACCACTTATTTAGGCTCAGGGTCAATACTGAGAGCTATGCTACTGTAATTTTATTGAATTTTTTTCTTGGCTTATTTGGACACTTTTTGTTCTTTTCTCTCTTTCTTATTTATTTTAGCAATGTGCCAAATACTGAGTTAAATATGCTTGGTTCTTTCCTTTTTCTTCTATCCCTGTTGTAAAATACCTTCTGTAGTGCTAGTTTAGTAGTCAGTTGCTTTTGTTTGTACTTGTCTGGGAAAACATCTCTGTTATGTCAAAGGATAGCTTTGGTAGTCTTAACACACCGTTGTTAACTCTTCTCTGTGTTTTCCTGGTGTTTGGGCTTTCTGATGTGACTTGGATGAGTCTGTCTTGTATGTTACTTGAAGTTTTCTTTTGTGGCTTTCCTGTTCTTTGTTGGCATTTTACCCATACAGTGCCTTGGAGACATGCTTTTCTGGTCATTTCTAGTTAGAGTTCTAAATGCCTCTTGTCCTTAGATCTCTAGTATTGCCTCTTGATTTGGAGAACAATTCTTTTAAATTTCAGTGACTATGCTTTCTGTGCCTGTAGTTTGTATTTCTTCTACTTGTGAATTCTAAGGTTTGGTTTCTTGATCATGCCCTACATTTTAGGAATATGCGGTTAGTGGAGTCTATGTTCTGATTATCAGACAAGAAGTCTCTGAGCATCAAGCAAGGGCATAGGCACTGGTGATCCTGTGTGCCCCGCCCTCAGCACAGCTCTGCTCACTCAGCACAGCTGGTCCCCGTGTTTGCCCCAGAGTTCTGGCTGTAGCTTCCCGATGTATTCACCTTGCCTCCCCTCTTTGCTGTGCCTTGTGTTTGTGTTTTTCACGTATGTATCTCCTATGATATGTGAGGTGAGGTTACAACCAGTTCCTTTGTGAAGTAGAATTTTGAGGGTATGTTTGTGTGTTTTTGCAGATACAGGTTCTTTTGTTCTCCTTAGCTGAAAGGTTCATCGTCCCAGGGCAGCAAATGTCTGTGTACTCACAGAAATGAGGTGTGCAAGGGTTCTTGACTCTAAGTATACAATTTCAGATAGTAGGTCCCATTTTAAGGTGACTCCTGGCTTTTTCTAAGTTTACATTGATCCATGCTTGTCACCATTGCTCAATATTGCTTCTTTCCTTCAGGGTTCATATTCTTTCCTACTGAAGTATACTTTCTCTTAGGAAAGACTTCTGAGTTGCAAACCTTTTCATCTTTCCTGAAAATATTTTCCTTTACTTTGGAGTATTCATTTCCCTGGGTCTTATTTAGGTTCTTTCTGGACAGCACTGTCTTTTGGAACTCAAGCATATTTCATCCCATTTTACCTGTGCTGTTTCTTCTTTTTAGTATAATGACTTCTTCCTGATTTGCCTCACTATATTTAGAGGTACAGTTTTCTTACTACCTGTTTTATAGAAATATTTCAAGCTTACGTAGAGTTGTGCATCTAAAATGCTACAATGAATACTGAACTAAATAGTTTATTCACTTACCTATTGTAAACATTAACATGTTTGACCTATATTATGCAGTCATGGGATCCCATGTTCTTTCTCTGTTGTATGCAGACACACAGATTAACTTTCTGAAGGGGAGTTACATATATCATGTCCATTGATCCTAAATATGCCAGTATTGTGATTTACATGTATACAGTGGTTTCTTTTATTCCACTGACCCTAGTATATTGTTTTTTCTCCTGTTGACATAATGTCTTTTATAGTATTTTCCTCCTGAAACACAGGATCAAATCTTTAGGAGGTATGGTGCTGATCTGTGTAGGTCTCTGGCCTTTTATATAGAACATTTTAACTTAGTACTGTTATGATTTGGATTTTTTTTTGAGAGAGAATCTTACCATGTAACCCAGCCTGGCTTCCATTCAGGCTCCTACTTCCTCAGAGTTCCCATATCTGAGATTACAGTAGCCCACCACTAGGTTCAAATGAAAGCATCTTTAACTTTGCACTTAACAGTGACCCCGGATGCATCATTGTTACTAAAGAGTATCCACTGCTGGTGCACTATTGAATAGGTGATAGCATTTCCTTCTTAAGATCGATCTGGGGGATGGTGATGTTTGTGTGGCCAGCTGTTCCTCTTGGTGTGGTCATGCTTAGTAAATTGGTTTTCTTTGCTTTTCACCATTAACTCCTTCATTGACATATTGAGGAAAGTTACCAAGCCAAGCTAGTCACTTGCCCTGAAAACTGTGGCTACATTACGTGTAATATCTCCAATTCAGAGTGCATGAATACCTGTTCATCCCCACGAACTATTGTCATATAGATCTCCCAGTGTTAGACATTCTAATAGATAGATAATATTACTTCATTGTGGCTTTAGTTTGCATTTTTTTCACAGCTAACGATACTGGAGACTCATGTTTGGTGCTTATTTGTTTCTGTCTTCTTTGGTAAATCACCTGTTCAGATATCTCCTCTACTTTTTACTGAGATGTTTGGTTTCTTTGAATTTTGTGATTTTTCTATATATATATATATCATATATGTATGTTGATAAGCGATACAAGCCAGAAAAGTTATTTCCCTCAAAAATGTTTTTTATTCACTTTGTTACTTTCAAAGACAGGAGTTCTTAATTTCAGTAAGAGCCAAGAAACTTCATTTCCTGACATTGCCCTAGGGAAATAATCAATTTATGTTTGAAGTTATTTATTCTAGGATATTCACTGTGGGAAAAGTGGAAGCACAGAAAAACTGGGGCAGCAGAATCTGCTTAAATAAATTATGCTGATCTCGAATGGAATGATTCCATTTTAAAGGGTTGTGGGGCACAAGTCTGTTGCTTTAGGTTTTTATGATATGAGCGGGAAAAGCACAGAGAACTCCCAAGTTGTACACTGAGATGTTGACAATGGCGATTACTGAGTAGTGAGATTGTAACTACCGCATTTTTTTCTGTTTTGTTTGGAAGACTATTTTGTCTAGAAGGTAAGCAAATAGCTACTCGTTTGGAAAGAAAGGTATTTTAATTTAAATTCTTCATAACCTCGATGATGCGTGTTCAGGGCCATGGGAACAGCTACCCGTCTCCTGAGAGGGTGTTCCAGGGCATACATTGCACCTGTGCTGTCTGCTTTTAACTACCTTGGTATTTGCTTCCCAGTACTGATTTTTGGAAGCTCCCCTCTTATCATTTCTGTCTGTCGGTCCCTCAAGTGACAGTGTGCTGTAGGAAAATGTGTGAGGATTGATTATCCATCATCAGGAAAAGCAAGGATGGGTCACTGAGCTTAGAATCTTACTAATGGATAGGGAACCTGCTGCCTGGCACTAAACTTAGCCTGGTTTTTAAGTCTGGTCAGTGCTACCAAGATGTCACCTGGCATTTCTAAGTCCTATGTTTGACTACTGGTATTGTTGTTTCACAAAGGAACTATCCAAAAACCTCGAGCTGAGCACAAACAGTTTCCAGCGGCAGTTGCTTGCTGAAAGGAAAAGGGCGTTTGAGGCTCACGATGAAAATAAACTTCTTCAAAAGGAGCTTCAGCGGCTCTACCACAAGTTAAAGGTGAGCACGTTCTTTTAGACCACACAATTTCTCCTGTCATATGCCTTACCTAGCATTTTTGTAAAAAGTGGTCACTATTCATATTTCTTACTATGTAATTTACAAAATTCTAGTATTGTATGTGTCACCTAGAAAGAAAAGCGTTGCTAATATAATTGCTGTAACAGAGTAAAATACTGTATATGCCAATAGCAACAATTGTAAATGAAGTCAGTTTTACAAAATTCTGGAAGAGAACCATGGGAATGAGCATGCGTGTCACACTCCTGAATCATCAGTGTTCCTCACATCATTCCAGGATGCTCGCTTTTAAAGTTGACGCCCCTTCATTCTGTTTCGAGGAAACCAATTCACATTAAACATGTCTTCATTTTATGGAGGTCATTGATGGGTTGAAATTTTGCTCAGAATTATACAAAATTTTATGCATAGCCTTATTTAGTTCTCTTTGATGCTCAGGTTCTCAGAAAAAGGTGTATTCCCATATTATGAAGATCTCTTGTGTAGACCAACACAATCTAATTTTTAAGTCATTAATAACCCAAAATACATACTTAAGAAAGGTTCTGCTTTTGTCCCTGGGGCCAAGCCTGGATCACAGAAAGGCATTACTAGCTCTATGGGGGAGCTTGTGGTATTTGCTTCCCTCCCCCTACTCTCCATCCCCTCCCCCTTCCCCCTTCCTTTCCCCAATCACCCTCTTCCTTTCCCCTTCCTCTTCTTTTCCCTTCCTCGTCCTTTTCCCTCCCACTCCTCCTAGTTTTCTAGTTTGATAGTTACAGTGGAGAGCTGCCCCAGAGATATTGCAGTTTAATAAAGAAGGTATTGGCTGTCCCACTGAGGGCATTTGTTTAATTTCAAACTAACTATCCTCCTTTCTTGTATTGGGTTTGTTTTCAGGAAAAGGAGAGAGAGTTGGATATAAAAAACATATACGCTAATCGTCTGCCGAAGTCCTCTCCAAAGAAAGACAAAGAAGTTATTGCAAGAAAAAATGGTATAGTAGGGTTACTGCTGCAACTGGAGCTGTTAGTGATGGTGGACTCTAGAGACAGTGAGGGAGGAGCCCTTGAGTATATGTGATCTCGGGTTTACAAATCAGCGTTGATCAGTCTTTCAGCTTTTGTCTTTCTAAGGAGAAGTCATTAAAATCGGGGTGGGGTGGGATGGAGAGATGACGGGGAGGGGAGCCGGGGTGAGAGTGCTTGCTGATCTTCCAGAACACCCATGTAAGGCCGCTCAGTGACCTGCAACCCCAGCACCAGGGGATATGATGCCCTCTTCTGGGCATCTTGAGCACACACACATCACATACATGGCACATATCATATACAGAGTCAATCTTTGCACATGAGTAGAAAAATAGAATTTACAAAATTAAAAAAAAGTTTTGTGCAACCTTTTAAAAAACATCTATATGTTCCATGTTGAAGTATCCCAAAATGTTGTGTTAGTATACAGCTTTTATGATATCATTAAATAAACTTAATTTTAATAAAAGGTTACAAACCTTATTATAATTTTGATAACGTGAAATATGTAATTATTCGTAAGTATTAGGCACCTAGCTTTACCAATTATACTCTTCACTGCTGCGGTTTCATCATTCCTTCCAATTTCTCTCATATTTTAGAGCCAACCCCAGATGTCACTTCACTTATACTGTGTATTATTGTACAGTTTTCCTTTTCTTAAACAAAAGTATAATTCTATGAATCAGAGAAATTTTAAAGCATTAACCTTGCAAAAGATTATTAGCATTTGTAGTATAATTGCCCTCAAATCACATAATTGCTAGTTAATCCTTCATGAACAAAGTGTGCACTCTCCTTTAGATGAATATTGCCAATTGAATATATGTCAACATTGTTCAGTGGGGTTAGAAAACTTGTTTATGGTTTTCTTGGTAGTATCATGCCAGAGTGATTTTACAGACCTGTGTACAAAAGGAGTACAGACCACTGAAGACTTTGAGCTTGAAGAATTTTCCGTTACATCACAGACAGTTCGGTGTTACGAAAACAAATGGGGTGAAACAGAATATCATTCTTCGGTGAGTTCAGCACGATGACTAAAAGCCAAAGTCCAGGAAATCTGTTTTCATAAATGTAGCCAGACGTTCCACACATACTTCCCACCCCTCTCTGGTCCTGTGTCCTCTGGAGAAGTATGCTAGTTACCTTTCTTGTTTTTGTGACCAAATATCTCATATGACGCAGACCAAGAAAGAAAGAGCTCCTTCTGGCTCTTGATTTGAGGGGATGTCATCCACTGTGGGGAATGTTTGACAGCTGGTCGTTTGCATCTAGTCAGGAAGCAGAGATGAATGTGGGCACTAAGACGGCTCTCGCCTTTTTCCCTTTCAATCCCCAGCCATTAAGGCAGGTTCACACACATTCATCGTGGGCCTTCCTCCTCAGTTTTAGTTTTTCTCCTAAGATTTATTTATTTTATGTACATGAGTACTCTACTTGCATGTATATATAGTAGGATCTGATGCCCTCTTCTGGCATCAGATCCCACTGTAGATGGTTGTGAACCACCATGTGGTTGCTGGGAATTGAACTCAGGACCTCTGAAGAGCAGCCACTGACTGCCCTTAACCACTGAACTCTCTCTCCAGCCCCCTCCTCAGTTCTTAGGGATACACTCAGATGTGTACCTCCTAGACAACTGATTCTAAGCTGACAATGAAGACTGACTATCTTGGGGGTTAGCAGATAAGTTTATAACATTATTCTACTTAAATGCTACATAATTATTAATTAGAGGTTTAGACATAATGTAGATTTGAAAGATCCGATGTGTCTGTCAATTGCTGTGTTCTGCAACTCAACACCATCTTACTTGGCTACTACAGCTGGCTAATAGCCATTTCTGGTTAGGTGAATTAATCAGATTTTGTTATAAAAGTACACAAACCAAAGTTATTTTACAGCTTACCTCATCACGATTTTATATAGGTTGTTGGTTTTATTTTCATTGTATTGATTCTGATGTATCTTATAATTTTCTTTAAAAATTTAGCTCAATTAAGAAATTGTCCTTTTTGAAGCATCTTTCAAAGCATGGTAACTTGACTTATTAAGTGAAGATTTGATTTAGTTTCTAACTTGGTAGTCACACGTAATGACTGATCCACCATGTTTAAAGACTGTTTTCCCCCTTCCTATGTGAATTTGCATTTCTGAAATAATAGTACCTGGAGTACCAAGAGCAAACCGAGCGTGGAGCAGAGATTCGAAATCCAGCCTTTGAAAAAGAAGACAAGTACAGTGAAGATAAGGAAGGACACTCTGGCAAACAGGAGGCGGGGAAGCCTGAGAGGGGTAAGAGTTTGTGTAAGCAGTTAGTGAGCTGGAAGCAGCTGGTGAAGGGGAGGAGGCCGCAGCACAGGGTGGTAACCGAGGGAGGAGTCAGAACGATTGAATGAAGTTACCAAAGAAAGAAAAGGAAGACTGGAAGTTGCTACTGAGGCTTGGGAATTAGGAATAAATTAACTCCAGAGAATTTAGATGAAACAATGTTTAATCAAAGAGGGAAACTATTCTTGTAACTATGTAAGAGTTAACCAAGAAGAGCCAATTGCTGTGCTGGCCTTGATCTCTGGGTCTTGCAGGGGCTGAAACACGAAAGCCAGTGATCTACAAAGCCCTGAGTATTCCTAAAATGTTTGTTTTACTTTAATCTGTAAACCTTTAATAACATTGCTTATAGGTTCAGAGAAACAGTTTGCACAGTTTAGATGATGGAAATGTATAGAATGTGCCCAAGATGTGGGCACGGGAAGTCGCAGACTAACTTACATATCCCATTAGTTCTGTGGTAGCTGTAAATCTTTTGAGTTTGTTTGTTTTAAACTAAAATTCATGGAACAGAAATTTGTGATCCATTTGTTGCTTGAAGTTGTTAACATGCTATTGGATGGGAATGTTAACGTGCATGTTGGGTGTGAAGTGCTATTGGTATCACTTTTGGACAGAGGCCGAGCAAGATGCTTTCATGTGTTAAGACACAGGATTGGAAATTGTTATCGTCAGTCCATCTTAGGGAACAAGAAAAGGAATAAAATAACAGAAGACCATGGCCTGGTCTCTTAGGCTGTCTCCTTATATGTGGGGTGATATGATATCAGAATGTATGCCATTTACTGAAATTATGTTATTTTAATATTTTTTATTCTTTTACTTGAAAATGATTTCAAAATTATAGGAAACTGTCAAGAACGGCCAAAACAAACCCTTCGAACGAATTCTGCACCTCATGTCCATACGCATAAGAGCTTGGCATGCATTTCTGCACCTCATGTCCATACGCATAAGAGCTTGGCATGCATTTCCTCCAAGCACAGACTGTCTCTCACAGCTCTCCATCATGGCTCCACACTCCAGGAGCTCTAACTCTTACCACATTTAGTTCGTCTGTTGTCCATAGTGTGATTTTTTTGGTAAACACAAGATTGTTCCTTGAAGCATTTTCTTCCCCCCGAACTTGATCATAAATTGTGTTTAATTCTCACCTCTGGCATCATTTTTGCTGTGGAGTATTTTTGCTTACTCTTTTTTAGTCTATGCAATTAATATTTTTGATAAGTACATACCTTTTTAAAGAAAATATGATATTCTTCATTTGAGAGTTAACTGAAATTTTCTCTTGGTTTGAGTCAGTGCATTTGCTGTTTGAGTTCTGTGCGAGGGATGCTTTCTCAGGGCAGCCAAGAATTTATGTTTAAGTTCCCAGTTCTGTCTCGCCACCCACCATGGATTGTACAGTACTGCACGAAGAACCTTCCTACTGATACACCGAAGAGCAGAGTGTCATGTGTGTGGCTCTTAATGCAATCCACATTAATTATTTTCTAATCCAGAATGTCAACTGTAGAAACAAAATATTATGATGTCCATTGTGCCTATCTTAGAATGTCAAATGTAGATTAAAAGACTTTCTGCAAAAATTGGTAGCTGAGTTTTCCTACTTAGAATTACTTGTGCTGTAACACTCCTGTTGTTAAATTTTGTTTTCTACAGAGTGGGAAAGAGAAGAACCTGATAAGGTGAAAGGTAAAGCGCCTTCACTCACTCGAGCGGAGAAGCCCGCGACGGAAGCTGGGAGGTTCCACGTGCAAACTCAGAATGCGGACAAGCCGGAAGAAGAGGCAGAAAGGCTCAAGACAGAAATGCTTCTGGCCAAACTGAACGAAATCAACAGAGAACTCCAAGACCCTCAGAACCTCAACCAGCCGCCTTTGCCTTTGCTCCCCAACTTTGACTTAAAGCTGCATTCCCCAGACAGAAGCCCCAAATCACACACACACTCTGAGTCTTCAGATAGATCCTTCAATGGACATCATTTGTCAGAAATGAACTTTTTAACTCCCAGAGGAGAAGGCCGGAGCCCAGGACCCATTCGGAGCCCGGCCCCTTCAGATGAGTTTTCATTTGGTAGCTATGTGCCTTCGTTTGCAAAAATGTCAGGGAAGGCAAATACACTTAGCCAAAAAAGCAGCCTTTTAGATTTCCAAAACAGCAGTTTGGAAAGCCTGAGTAAAGACAGTGTGGATTTAATTTTGAGAAAAGAGAAAAAAGCGAGCCTAATGGAGGAGCTGTTCGGCGCCAGCACCAGCACCAGCAGCACCACCGTTTCCACCAAGAGCGGAGACCCGCATTTTCTGACTGCCTGCAGGGGAGACTTGGACCCCCGTAATTTCCCCTCTGGGGATAAAAGCGGCAGAGTCCGGGAGCCTGACGATGAAGATGAAGACTTTTTCCTCGGCGAAGGAAGAAGCTGTCATCCCAACAGGCAGCGGCTGAAGCACACGAGCAATAAGCCATCGGTGGCAGCCGTTGACTCTGTTGATGAGGACATCGAAGAGGTTACACTCAGATGACTGGCTGGAGCACAGAGTATATATATTTATTTTTTAAATTGTAAATATTAAAGTATTTTAATACGGTATTTATTACAAAAATTTACATTTTTAACGATAAAATAGCGTTATTAGGGAGTAATTTTTAGCAGCTGAGCATGGCCCAATTAAGCAAATTGTACCATACCACATAGCCACGTTGCTAAGAATGCTTTTTTTGTTGTTGTTTTGAAATGAACCAAGAGGAGAGTTGTTGCCTTCTTTTTCTGCTTTCACAGCTGGTCTCACTTACTGAGCTGACCTTGTGGGAAGTTTTACTTCACTAGAATCTTTTTCATTTCCTACTTTTACCTCTATTTACTTTTGGTCAGATCTCACTGAGCCTAAGTATTGTTTTTCCACTGATGGTTAAATGGAAATTAAGGGTCTCCAGTGACGGCTCCAGATAGCATTGAGCAGTGGGACTTAGGAGCTGTGCCCTTGTCTGAGGTGACAAAGCCAAGCCACTCCTGAGTGGGGGTGACAACAACATTGGAACTACCTCTGGCAATACACCCACCCTGGGTGTTTGGGGTATTTACTAAGGTATGTACTGGTGTATTACTCCTGAGGAGACCGTCCTCCTCAGTTTCAGCCATGAAATTACTCACTGCTGCTCCACAGGCACTTGGGGGGCACGGAAGACATTTTTGCCTTAGATGGTGCCCCTCTGTGTGACTCCAGGAGGCTTGGGCACAGTGCTATTCCTCGATTTCTGTACACTCTGTATTCTGATGCAAGACTCCCTACCAGAATACAGGAAGTAGAAGAAATGTCAGCCAAACACAGAATGATTTTCAACTCAATTATGTTTCCAGAGTCCTAGTTTTGGAAATTTTAATACATAATCCTAAGATTTGAATTTGTGCTCAAACCCAGGAGACAGAAGTGTGATGCTCTTGGGCTTACAGGACTGATGTAGAAGCAACCATGGACAGAGGTGTTTAGAATCGGGGCACCTGCCAGGCCGACGAGACGCTAGAGTTTTCTGTAGAAAGGCAATTTCCTTCCACTTAGTTCAAGACAGACGCAGAGGCACGTGCTGAGTAGGCCTGGTCTGCTGGAGCAGTGACAGATCAGCCGAGGGGAACGCTGTGTGTAACTGAGTGATTTGTGATACTGTGTTCTTGATAAAACATTATGTAATGTTAATTTTGTTCATGGCTGCAAGTTTTCTACTGAAGTATTCTAATTTTTAAGGTTTTTAAAAAACTTTTCCAGAAAAAATTTATTCATTACATTAATTAGATTTATGCCTTTTTCTACCTGACAGTTTGTTTAACCCAACGAGCAAGGAATTACTAAAATTAAAACAAATTAAGTTAAAAGCTTAAAAGCATAATTTTTGGTATTAAAATTGGATATTAAAGTGTATAGAACTTAGAGAGCAAATCAGTTTTTTTTCTAAATGTCAAGTTAAATTTATTTGTACTCTGGATTCTTACTAATAAAAATTTAAAGCACACCATGACTCTATTTGAATGATCCTTTGTATTTACAAGATGTGCAGTGAAAGCAGGATCTGGAAGGTTCTTACCTCATCATTTGCCTTTATTTTGTTTGGCAGTTTCAGTTGAAGCACAGGAATTTGTACTAACTCAGGGCAGACAGTGTGGCAGTCTTCTCAGATAATTATAGTTCCAATTAATCTTTTCTACCTTAATGGCCATTATGATGGCGCATATCTCACATGGCAATAAAGAGAAGGTGCAGGAAGGGAGGAGTAAATTGAATGTAAACATCGGCCTGTTTGCTGACTAACCCACTATTTCTTGACCATCTTCATTTCCTATTCCAGGCTGGTGGTGTCCCTGGCTGGTTAGCACACAGGGAAGGTCCATATGGGTGTAAGTGGGTAAAACCCTGAGGTTGCTGATCTACCAAATGCCCAGTATATCATAAGCACTTGATAAACAGCTGCTGTTAAAGCTAATTATGCGTTCCATGGAATAGTTGAAAAAATGGAACAAAGATTCACACACACACACACACATACACACATACTGGGCACACAAGACATAAGCAGATAAAGCTTCTAAGCTCCCAATTCTAGATCATCAATACTAAAGATACTGTGTCTTTTCAGTACTATGAGCTCTTCTACAGAACAGCAGGAAAACAACTAGTGATGGATTTTCTCAAGACAGGTTTTGTGACATGAGGCAAGAGTCATGCCTCACAGCAATTAAAAGTCTGGATAATACTGGCTTACGGTTGCATCATCTAATTCACACCCCGTTACTGCCACTAACCTTTGCCTGTCTGCAGGACAGTGCTGTGGAGAGACCCTACCTTGTGGGACTTGCACACGTTCAACGAATTGATACACACGAATCCATGCTTAGAGCCAGGGCCACTCATGTCTTCCCTACTTTGCTGTTGTCATGGAAAAGGGATTAAGAAAGGGGAGAGCACGTTTTTTAAATGTCAGAGATGGCAGTTGCTGCTTTTGTATCCTTTGGCTTGTTTATGCCTCACAGAGGTTTGTCCTGAGTTGCTGGTATCTTGTATCAATCACTGCTCCTTTTATAGAATCGAGGCAAATAGAACACGCGTTACAGCGCGTACCAGATTTCAAAGGAGGAATATTGCACTACATAGTCACAGCGTAAGAAAGCAAACCAAACCAAACAAGCAAAAACCAGTTGTGCATTAGTGTGTCGGTACTCCACAAAAACAGCTTACAAAACACACTACTTCTGCTGCTCTTGCTTTCGGTAAGACACTAACTTGCCCTTCAAACTGGCACTATCTCCCTGTCTCCTACACACTGTCAGGAGTGTCACTGGCCCACGTATGCTGTGATATACCTGCTCTCTGTGCTGGTTGCCTTGTGCAGACAGGAGTGAACTCCCTGCTCTTACCCTGGTCAGAAAAGGTCAGGGTTTCTGCACAATGAGAAGGTATGGATCCACAGATGGAAGAATTTTAGACAGTTGCTGGCTGCTGGGGAAGGAGTTTGTCTGTCTGTTTGTTTGTTTGTTTGTTTGTTTGTTTTTTAAGAGTGTGATCTCTCAACTCTGGTGAGTTGATTTTGATGCGGTGGTTGGCCCAATCCAACACCCATGAGTATGTGGGCTGGAGTTGGTAATTTTTAGAAACGAAGTTGGGAGGGGTAGATCTGAGAGGAGTTGAGGGGAAGTGGAAGGATGAATGTGATCAAAATGCATTGTATATGTGTATTAAATTCTCAAAGGATAAAAAATAAACCTTTTCATTTAAAAATTATAATAGTTTATTTCTGACATGTGCCTTTATATACGTGAATATATTCAACCCGCCCCTAACACAATAAAAATTAGAGATAAGTCAAAACAGGATAAAAAAACATTTGACTTTGAGGTCAGGAAATAGGTTAGACTTGAGTGCTTGCAAATTACAGTTTTCAATAAATAATTTGTCTTTAAGTTCCCCATATGTGAAATGGGACTGATCACATCTTTACACGCTTATGGGAATCAGTTGAAGTGGTGTGTTTTTAGGAGAAGAAAATAGCAGAATGATGCACATCATAAGAAGGGCAGGATGTCTGTCTGCTCTGAACTTGAGATTCGTGCTTGGACTGGGGAGATGACTAAAAGATAAAGCAAAGTGGCTGTCTGCCTGTGGTCTCTGTGTTCAGGAGGGGGAGAGAAGGGACCTCTGGGGCAAGCTAGCTAGACAACCAAGTCAAATGATGAGCTCAGGTCTGGGGAAAGACCTTGCTTCAGTAGTTACAACAGACAGTGGTCAAGATAGACACCTTATGTCAGCCTGTGGCTTACACACACACACACACACACACACACACATACACGGGGGGGGAGCAAGGGAGGGAGGGGAGGGAGAGAGGAGGTATGTGGGTGCACAGTAAATATGAATTATGCACATACTATGCTCATACACAAACATCTCCATCCAAATATTTTTTTAATCAGTAGAGACTTGTCAATATGAACATTTAAAAAGCTAGCTGTGTTCTTGGCCATCTTCAACTGAAGTGACGACTCCTCCTTGTGACTCATGCAGAGGCTGCAGTCCTCTAGAGAAGGCATTTGCTGTTTCTGTGAGGGAGCAGCCGGTGGTTGTGGGAGAAGCACGTTTTCACAGAGGTTTACTTCACTGCTGAACTTAAGGAGAAACCAGGAGCCAAGACTCTCATGCTCTCTGAGTACAAAGTTTCTAGAGGAAGCCCCCCAGTCAGCAGTGTTGGGTGTCCCTGAATTCCAGGACTGAAGAGAACTGTGACTTCGGAATTGATTCTAGCTAGGTACACTTTTCTTACAATCTATTTATAAAACATTGTTAATGTCCGATTTTTACCCTGATATAGACAATCAGAGTTCATGTAAGATAGTTATGGATGCTGTCTTTCCTAGAAACATTCATATTTGTTTTTTCCTCCTTTAGAATTTCTTCTAAAAATCTTAATTAAATTCTTTATGAGTCTCTTCTAATCAATGTGATATGGGTAATATGTACTCTCCTACATATTAGGTGGGGAAGTGCCTTCAAATAATGAGTACAAACCAGTATGCCACTTAAGTTATTTCCAAAAGAGATGTAGAATCAATAGACCCCAAAAGCACCAACCAGGAAAACGGTGGTGTATTTCTGCCCCCGCAACTGCTGCAGCACTTGGAAGCTAGATAAAGATGCCTGGGGTAGATAGGTTACAAACCTACTGTGTAGAGACAGCATCAGAGCTCATCTGTATTTCAATGAGCCCTCCAGGGCATCCTGATACAGCTGAAGTAGGGAGAGCAAAGGAAAAGGGTGCTCTTTTATGTATAGGAATGGCCGTAGGTTTTGCAGACTCAAATCCAGCGCTGCGTGTTCCCTAGAAGCTGTGTTGAAGTGTGTGTGTGTGTGTGTGTGTGTGTGTGTGTGTGTGTGTGTGTGTGGTAATATACGTAGGGTGATGGTCCTGGCTTTTCTACTTTGAGACATACATAGTCCCTTTGTAGTGGTTAGCTATGCTAGCGGGCCTGGTGGCTTCTGGAGATTCCTCTGTGTCTGTCTCCCATAGGTCTCAGGGATTACAGATAATCCCATTACCGTGTACAGACTGTGTGTGGGTTCTGGGGATCCGAACTCAGATCACCAGGCTTATAAAGTACTGCTGAGTCATCTCCCCAGCCCTGCAATCATTATCTTTTCAATGGCTACAGCTAGTTGTGGTCTGTTACTGATGGTTTTCTGGCTAGTATGTCAGAAGGAAGAAAGAAGATTGTATTAAAAACAATGAATATCAGAAGAACTGGGCAGTTCACATGACATTTCTGTTACATCCTATGACCCTCAGATTTCCAGAAAAAGATAATTTGAAAATGCATAGTATTCTCTCAAAAAGGACTATTCAGTGGTTCAAGTTTGACATTCTGTGTGAACATACAGTTACTTTAGCAACTGGTCTCGAAGTTTTAAGCTTTTTGGAAGTTTAGAAACTAAAATTATCTAAAGGATCAGTCTATATTCAGGAGGTGATTTGAGTAAAAGTAAAATAGAACTAATTACGTGAAACCTTGTGCATTCTTTGGCTCCTGTGAATACATGTGTCATTTATGGTCAACATCCATTGGGTTTTTATAAATTGGGATTTTGTTTGCAATGCAAATCTCCACATCTTCCATTGGCTTCCTGGCTTACTACAAAGCCAAACAAACAAACCATTTCATCTTAAACAGACCTGTTTTGTGAAATTTTATATGGGATTTGTTATTGTAAAAAAATAAGGAACTGTATAAAACAAACAATCAAAAAAACTACTGACAATGGAGGTAACCGTGGTGACAGTAGAAGTAACTATTCCTGGTGATTCCTGATGTGTCCTAAGTATTTTCTCCGGGGCATAGGCTCCAGAAAATGTATGTTGGGCAGGCAGGTGAAATTGTAATACAGTTACAAGTTTTGAACATGTTTCTGTACTGTGGTTACCCCGTCCAACTTTTGTGTGGGGACTAGCAGTCTCTTAAGTAATTAACACATTGGTCTGGTCCCACATTGGACCCAGAACTTTGTTCACCTCTTTTCCTATTCTGTGTGCTCGGAAACATGCTCTAGTGACCTCACTGACTTTTGCGGCTCTCCTCTCTCGTCTTCCCCAGCCGTTCTCATTGCAGCTGCAGCTTAGCTTCTGTTTCTCTTTTTAAGCATCCTTTTGATTAACCAGAAAGTTTGATGGAGTCCAGCAGCATAATTAAACCCACGAGCAGTGTCAGTTGGGTGTTCCTTAGCTGCAGGCATGTTGCTAGGATACTCTTAAAGACACAATTCTCTTGATTAACTGCACACGCTAGATTGCCCAAGTAGCATTTTTATCATTCATAGAAATACAGGTCAGGTTGCATTTAAATTTATAGCAAGATGAGTGCTATCCAACTCTGAATGCTTTTAGCATCACAGAAATGTATTTAGGTATGCGCACAAAGAATGTGTCTGGAATAATAATTTGGTGCCTGAGAATTCGTCATCTATTTTAGGGAG